CACTTTAACCTTAAAAAAAAAAAAAAAAAAAAATCAAAGAACAAAACAAGATTATTTATCCCTAGTTATTGAAATAAAAGATACCCAACATTTAAAAAAATTAAAGAATATAAAAACATACTTTTATAAAATGGCAATGTTCAGTGGTCCTGACACCATCATAAATAAATACTTTTAGAACATTTGTGCCATCATAAATAAGGGGGCTGGAGAGATGGCACTGGCTGCTCTGGTAGAGGACCTAGGTTTGATTCCCAGCACCTACATGGTGGCTAAGGACCATTTGTAACTTGTTCCAGAGGATCTGACGCCCTCTTCTGGCCTCTCCGAGCATTGCACAAAATGAGTGCTCTTACATAAAATTTTTTTAAATGAATAAAGCTGTGAAGTACATGATCTGTGAAACTGGCAAGTATCTGTGGTGATGACAGCTTTGAGCTGAATGCCTTAGAGCTGAACTGTTGGGTCAAAGCAGTCACAGCTCTAAAGCCCCACCCCACCCCACCTATTGTTTGTTTTCTGGTTTGGAGATATTCTCATTTAGTCCACGTTGGCCTCTAAAGCCAAGAGTGACTATGAACACGTGTTCTTCCTACCTCCACGTCAAAGAGTGCTTGACTAGCATGCGCAAGGCCCTGGGTTCAGGTTTAACCACACACACACACACACACACACACACACACAGAAATTCTTACCTCTACCTTAGAAAGGCTGGGATTGAAGGAGTGCCTATTTACTAGTGCTGGGGTTGAACCTAGAGGCCTTGTGTATGCTAGCCAGGCATTCTGCCAACTGAGATATCTCTGAACTCACTACCATGTAAAACAGGCTGGCCTTAAACTCATAGAGATTTACCTGCCTCTGCCTCCACGTGCTGGATCTTTTTAAAGGTGTGGTCTGGCCTGTTCTACGGCTTTTGATGCAAAACAATTTCTTTGCCAAAAATGCTGAGGGAAAGGTCTGTAGAGCTTGTGAGCTTGACTGGTGCCAACAGGAAGAACAGAGACTAGCAGCACTGTGTTCAGAGTTGGGGCTTACATGAAACTAACCCCTTCACTCATCCCCCAAAACATCTCGGTAAATGAGGGTCTGTTTTAGGTATCACTTTTAGGCTAAGTTGGAGAACTCTAAACCTGACTGAAATCAATGAGGGCAGTTCCAAGTAGCCAAAGAACCTGAGCCTAGCAAAAGTATAATCTTAGCACGTAGGAGGTGGAGGCAGGAGAATGGAGAGTTAGAGGTCAGCCTGAGCTACATGGTAGAGAAACTGAGCAATTCTTTGTCAACATTCTTAAATATCAATGATTATCAGCTTAATTATTTGGTTTTTAAAATTTTTTAGTGCATGAAGTCAATGGGACTCAAGGACAAATTTATCACTCTTTTCAATCTAGCTCAGAGGAGGAGCTGGGGGAGCTAGTAGAGTGTCTGCCTAGCATGCACAAAACCTGAGATTGATCCCTAGCATCACATAAAATGGGTGTGGTGTTACACACCTGTAATCCCAGCACTGGGGAGGTCGAGGCAGAGGGATCAGGAGTTCAAGGTCATGCTTGGTTATATAGCAAATTCTAGGCAGCCTGGGTTACTTGAGCCCCCATCTCAAAGATAATACAAGGAACCGGACATATTTGCTAAATTTACTAAATGAAATGTATAAACTTCATTTGGATTCTGAACAAAACAAATAACTAATAAATACTATAGAATGAGGAAATGTAAATACTAATTGGATATTTAGTGACATTAGGGGCCAATATTAATTTTGTGTGAATGGTGGCTCTGAGGTTATTTTTTGGTTTTGAGATGGAGTCTCATGTAGCCCAGACTCACCTCAAACTCCTTTTGTAGTCCAAGGGTGACCCTGCACCTCTGATCTTCCCGCCTCCACCACCAGAGTACAGGGATTACAGGACAGGTATAACCACAACTTGTAATTTATGCACTGTTGGGAATCAAACTCAGGGTTTCATGCATGCTAGGCAAGCACTCTACCAGCGAAGTTATATCCCCAGCCCCTGAGGATATTATTAAGATATACTGATTTAGGGACGACAAGATGACTTATTAGGTAAAAAGCTTGCTACCGAGCCCAAGGACCTGTTCTATTCCCAGGACCACATGGAAAGAAAGAATCAACACCGGCCGGTTGTTTTCTGACCCCCACAAGTGAGCCATGCCATGCTCATGCACACACAAAATAAGAGTTCAGGCCCAGCCTGGACAACACAGTGAGACTCCTCCTTATACAAGGGAAAAATAAATAAATATTCATTTCTTATGTGTGTAAGAGACAGAGGATGGGGGCAGGGGGTCCGGGACGGAGTGTGCATGGGGATGTCCAAGGATAACTTTTCAGTTGATCCCCGCCCTCTGACTTGTTTCAGGCAGTCTTTCCTGTTTCTGCCACTGTGCTATGTAACCAAGCTTCCTGCCAGTTCTGCCTTGTCTCCCATCTTGCAGTAGGAGTGTTACTGCACCCATCTTTTTAAAAAAACACAGGTTATGAGGATCAAACTTAGGTCATCAAGTTGCATGGCAAGCACTTTTACACCCGAGTCATCACCCCTGCCATTCTAAGGTCAACACCATTATTTTGTGTTTGTTTGAGACAGGGTCTCCCCATTGCCCAGTTGTCTTGGAACTAGCTATGTAGATCAGGCTGGCCTCGATCTTACAGAGATCCACTCGCCTTTGCCTCCAGAGTGCTGGGATCAAAGGTGTGAGGTCACCATACCCAGCTTGTCGTTATTATTTCTAAGAGTCTGCAATCTAAAGGTTTAGAGATTACAGGAAGAACTAAGTATCTGTGAAAATAGCACATGATGTCACAATGAAAATACTCAGGGCTGTGGCTCTGCATGTGTAAAATAGACCAACTATGGATGGCAACTGGATGTGGATTAGGATAGGGACTCTGGATCCATTATACAAGTCCATCTACTTTCATGTATCCGACAGTTCCCATAATAAAGTTTACTTAAAAGTACTGGAGAGATGGCTCAGCGGTTAAGAGCACTGACTGCTCTTGCAGAGGACCTGGGTTTGATTCCAGCACCCACATGGTGGTTAATGACTATCTGTAGCTCCAGTTCCAGGAGATCTGACACCTTCTTCTGACCTCCAAGGGCACTACACAACTCAACTTATTACACACATACAGGCAATACATTCATACATATTAAAAACAAACAATAACAACAACAAAAAAAACAAAAACCCAACCCCTGACTTACCTTTTCTGGTTCTTGCTTTAGATGAGATACTCCAACAAATTCTGCTTCCAACTGGTAAGTGAGTGCCAGCACTTGGATATCAGTGGCTGAGAGGCTGGGGTAGTCTCCGGTTTTCTTTGAAAACTCAGTCACTGTAAACAAGAGGGTTCCAATTTCAGCTAAGGGCAGAAACTGATAGGTCCTTGAATAACCAAACAGTGTCAAAAAAACATATGGGCCAGTATGACCTGAGTTCTACCCCCAGGACCTGCATGGGGGAATGAGAAAATCAACTTCCACAGATTATCCTGCACACACAGTGTCACACGCACACCAGCCCTCCCAATAAATAAAAGTAATAAAAACATTCAAAAGAACTTAGAAAGAATCAATATCCCATCTGGGAATAGAGGCTCAGGACTGTAATCCCAGCACTTAGGAGCTGAAGATAGGAGGACAGGGAGTTCAAGGCCATCCTCTGCTACACTGCAAATTCAAGGCCAACTCCAGAGTTCTTCTGGAAAAACAAAACAAAAAACCAACCTAACAAACAAAGAATCAATATCCCATAAAAACTGCAGCAGTTATGTGTTTTCTGACCTTTTTCTACTCATGGCTAAGAAGTCTGTATTCTCCACCACAGAGCCACATGCCAGACAGCTTTAAGGAAACATTCCAATCAGTAAGGTCAAAGAACAGAACAAGGCCAACAGAACATCAGTAATGTTAACACAGTATTTTCCCGTGATGAGAGTCCTTGCTGAAGCTTTGGTATTATGCTAGAAGCCCTCTTCTTTCTTAGATCTAATATCCTCTGTGTCTATGTATATGATCTGATTCCAAAATAGAACTGAAGCCGTAACAATGGTTTATGGTAAGACAAAAAGAGGGTTGTTTTGTAACAATAGTTTTCAAAAAGATTTTAAGAAATGCACACTTGTGCTTAATACACAGTAAATGGCAATGGTCACTACTGTGCCTGAGACTCTGACAAACAGTAACATTTTCTTGTATAACAGAAACATGTCTTCTTCTACAATGGCACACAGAACAATAAGTATTCTGTAAACATGTTCTGTAAAAATAGTATTAACAAGTCTACTTGGGTACCCAGCAACTTTTAGTACTTGCCCTAAGTCATGGGAACTGTGATCTTCCCCAGGACCACAGACTAGAAGACCAGAAGGAGGCTCCCTCCAGGATACTGGGTGAAGATGATTCACTCTGGGCCTAATAGCTGGCTGTGGAGGTGGCAGTGGAGATGATGGCCAACACATGTGACAGTGACTAGTGCCTGCCATGGGAAGTGAGAGCTCTCCACTACAAGGAGCTGTCCAAGGGCGAGTCTGTGTGCCGGACCCACGTGTCTCCATGTACTTGAACTTCATTGAGCAGATGGAAAAAACCTTTAACAGAGCTGTGTATACCAGATGGAGAGATAACAAAGACGATGTAGTAGAGCTCGAACCCACATGAGGTCGTAGTATACACTCTGAGTGCATCTTGCCACTTACCTAATAACACTGCTCCCTGGTAGGTGTCATATGCGAACACTGTCACATCTAGGCTCTCTGGGCCATCTCCAGGACCTCTGAGTGCCACGGAGCTGTCCTGGCTAAAGAAGGGGTATTTGCCACACTGATCTATGATGGAGTATATGTATATATGGAGATATCTATATTAAAACACATTTGTTGACTAAAAAAAGATGCTAAGCTACAGTTCACTATGTACTTAGATCAGGTAGCAGGAACCTGCTTAAAATGTTTACATGTCAGTTCATTTCTGACTTGCCAAATCCTACAACGTATTAGCATTTTCTCCGAAAGCTGAAATAACTTTGCACAGCTATTGGTGGAGAAAGCTACAGAAATCACAACTTGCAGAGTGGGTAATGGTATCTCCGCTATCAGCCTCTAACGCAATTCCAACCCCTGCTAGCCTTAATTCCTACAGAGAATGAGCTTGCTTTCAGATCTAACACAAGGCCTAAACACATCCCTTTTCCTTCCTTTTAAAAATTATTGTTTTATGGGGCTGGAGAGATGGCTGTGGTTAAGAGCACTAACTGCTCTTGTAGAGGACCTGGGTTCGATTCCCAGCACCCACATGCTTTATTAGGGCTAGAAAGATGGGCTCAGCGGATAAGAGCACTGGCTGCTCTTGCAGAGGACCAGGGTTCTAGTCCCAGCACCCATAAGGTAGTTAACCGTCCTAACTCTAGTGCCAGGGGATCGAATGCCCTCTATTGACCTCTGTGGGCACTGCATGAATGGGTTCACTTAACATAGAATAAGGCAATACACCCACACAAAAAATAATTGTTTAAAAACTAATTAAAATTATTTACCTATTTATTTAGAGACAGGGTCTCTTTTTGGGAGGACAGGGGACTCAAACTCAAGGCCTTCTGCATACTTGGCAAGCGCTCTACTACTGCGTCCCAGGGCACACAGCTAGTTAGGCCCGGGAAGGCGCTCTCTCACAACCATCTAGAATTTACTGTTTCGGAAACAAATGCTCTGACGAAGCAGCCCCCAACTTCCCCCACCAAACCGAGCTGACACTCACCCAGCCGCACGTATTCCGGGAAAGGCTGCTTGAACCGTAGCTCATAGGGCAGGACCGCCAAGCGCCTGCGCGTGGCCTTGTCGCGGATCTCGTGGACCACCTCCCGGATGGTGTAGATGTTCCTCCCGATGTCCTGCGGGCAGACCGGACGGCTCACTCTCGCCCGACCCCACGTGCTCCCCTACAGGGTCTCTGGCACAGGCCCCTCTCCCCGCCCCGGGATGTCGCGTACCTGCAGAGCCGCGTCCCTCAAGAAAGCCCCGGCGTCCGCCACAACGTGCTCCACAGGCGCCATGTTAGCTGAGCAGCACGGAGCGCGCATGCGCACGGCACCTGCGCTTTCTACGTTTGCAAGCCGGTCGCTCGGCGAACGTGGAGGAGCCTTGGCGGGTTGGCAGCGCCCCCTCGAGGCCGCAGCCGGGATTACTACCCGCGCGCATGCGCAGCTCTGCGGCTAGCCCCAGCCAGGGACATGCCTGCATGGTAAAATTTGGGGGACACCTAAGGAAATCTTAGCATCCACTTCTTAGCGCCTTATTTTAAAAAACAAAACCTGCATATATATCCTCATGGTTGAAAGTAAGTATAGATGATCCATCACAGCAAACCAATAAAATAGGGGCTATTTTTCCAGGTGTGGTGGGGCACCCTTTTAATCCAGAATTCAGGAGGCAGAGGCAGGAGCATCTCTGTGAGGTCGAGGCCAGCCTGGTCTACATAGTGCGTTCCAGGCCAGCCAAGGCTACATAGTGAGACCCTACCTCTAAATAAATAAATAAATTTTTTTTAGAAGGTAGGTTCTAGGGCCAGAGAGATGACTCAGTAGTTAGGAACATTGGCTGCTCTTACAGAGGCCCCAGGTCGATTCCCAGCACCCATATGATAGCTAAAAACTATCTGTCACCGCCAGTTCCAGGGGATCCAACACCTTCCGGCCTCTGAGGACATTGTACAACACGGCTGCATTTACATGAGGCAATACACTCGTACACATAAAGTAAAAATAATACATTTTTTGAGCTCCACCAGAGGGTGAGTGATGCTCAAGCCACTGCCAGCACCCTCCCCCTCCCACACGGAGAAGCTCGCCAACCAAAAGCAAATAGTTATTGAGTGCTGGAGAAAAAAAAAGGTAGGTACCATTTTACAAAAAAGCCAAGCTCATCTCCCCAGATAACCTCGAAACTGACAGAGCCACTTTCTTACCCATTATGCTAAACCACTATTGCATTCCTACTTGATTTTGAACAATTTGGGGTAACAGTCTGCCTTATTTAATATTCTTGCTCTATCTCCCTAAGCAAGGCACATAATTTTCTAGAAAATAATTACTTGCTGAACTGAACAGAAGGGGTATTAGTGACTTTCAGATTTCAAATCTGAGATTTCATAATTGGGAGATCTAACCCATGACACCCTGGCAAATTTTGGTTGAATGCTAATCTGAGTCTTTATCATCTATTTTCATTCAAACTGTTCTATATTCAATCATCTGTCTTGATGGTACCTGTTGGCAATTGCCAAAATCTCTTTTTCAACCCTAAACATTTCTTTAAATTTTTTAGATTACATTTTTTTATTGGGAGGAGTGTGCCTCGGTGCTCATGTGGAGGCCAGAGGACAACCCAGGACAGTCACTCTTTTCCTTCCACGATGGGGGGCCCCAGGGATCCAACTCAGGTTGTCACTCCCGCTCAGCAGCAAGTGTCATTGCTTGTTGAGCCATCTTGCTGCTCATCCCCAAACATTTTCTATTGCTGCTCTTCTCATCCCTCTATCTAGAGCCTGCCAGTGCTGCCTGTCACGAAATAATGATGTAGCGAAGACTATTTCCAGTTTTCTAGAGAATTTTATCAGTGGTTTGTTGCAGAATTTGGCATTACAGACTACATAATCTTACTGGATCTACTTTTTTTTTTTTTTTTTTTTTTTTTTTTTTTTTGAGATAGGGTCTCCCGGTAGCCCCAGCTGACCTGGAACGCACTATGTAAACCAATCTGGCCTCAATCTTAATTAATCCTGAGTGCTGGGATGAAAGGCATGCAGCAACCAGCCAGCTCTATATTCTTTTTTTTTTGTTTAATTTTTATTTATTTTTTTTTTTTGAGCTGAGGACTGAACCCAGGGGCTTGCGCTCTCTAGTGCTCTACCACTAAGCTAAATCACCAACTCCAATTTTTAAATTTATTTATTATAATCATTTTTATGTGTAGGAGTGTATTGCCTGCATATATGTAAGTGCACTTGTGTTATGCATCGGATTCCCTAGAACTGGAGTTACAGACAGTTGTTAGCTGCCAGGTAGGTACTAGGATTCAAACTCAGGTCTTCTGCAAGACCAGCCAGTGCTCATAACCATTGAGCCATCTCTCCAGCCCCTTTAAAAAAACGTATTTTTTTATCATTGTTTTCTTTAAGATGTAATATGAGGGGTAACTCCAGGGGTTCCGACAGCCTCTTCTGACCTCCTTGGGCATTGCACAGCACAGGTGCGCTTACCTACATGCAGGCAATACATCTATACACACAAAGTAAAAATAATAAATAAATTTTAAAAAAAGATGTAACATGATTACATCGAAAGACTGTATAATTCAGAGAATTTGGAAAGGGAGTGAATGGCAAACTCACATTATAGGAACAGTGACAAATTTCACATTATTGTTGAAATTTGGTAGTACAATTTTGTCAGTAAATAATATTTGAAAAGAGGCTGGAGAGATGGCTTAGTGGTTAAGAGCATTGGCTGCTCATGCGATGACCTGGGTTCAAGTTCCTACCACTCATATGGCAGCTAACAAACTGTCCATAACTCTAGTTCCAGGGAATCTGATGCCCTCTTCTGGTTTCTACAGGCATTGCACAGATATCACAGACATGGTTCACTTATGTACATACAGGCAAAACATTCATACACAGAGAATAAAAATTAATATAATATTCAGCCAGGTGTAGTGGTGCACGTCTTTAGTCCCAGCACTTGGGAGGCAGAAGCAGGCAGATCTCTGTGAGTTCAAAGCTAGCCTGTTTTACAAATTGAGTTCCAGGCTAGCTGGGGCTATAGGGAAACCCTGTCTCAAAAAAGACCAAAACCAAAACCAAAACAAAACACCAATATTCAAAAATTAAAGTACACATATAGAATTGTTTTGTTTTTTGATACAGGGTCTATGTAGCTAGCCTTGACTGGCTTGGACTTTGCTATGCAAACCATGCTAGCTTTGAACTTACAGAGTTTGGCCTGTCTCTGCCTCCCAACTACTGGGATAAAAATATAAAGAAAAAAAAAAAAAAAAAAAACAACAACAAAAGCAAGGCTGGGTGCAGTGGTCCACACCTTTAATCCCAGCACTCAGGAGGCAGAGGTTGGCACATCTCTGGGTTCAAGGCCAGCATGAGCTATACAATGAGTTGTAGGCCAGCCAGGGGGGCTACAGAGGGGCCCCTGTCTCAAACCAAACCAAACCAAAAAACAACTTTACATTAATAACTAGAATCCATCCAAACATAAAAGAACTAAAAATAATGGAATAATTAATACACAGTTCTTAGAGCTAATTAAATGACTAGTATTACTTTTCACCAATCACTTTTGTTGTACAGAGACAGGGTCTTACTTTGTAGCCCAGGCTCGCCCTGAACTGTGATTCTCTTGCTTTAAGCCTCTCCTGTGCTGGAATTCCAGGTATGAGCCCCTAGGCCCAGTAATTAATTTGATTAATAGTGAGAAGTTGAGCTTTCATTCAACTTGTCAACGCTAAAGGTCCAGACCATTAGTTAAAGAATGTTGACCCATATCGGCCAGCTCACAACTGTGTGAAACTCCAGCTCTAGGGGATTTGACACTCTCCTGGTCTCTGAGAGCACCTGCACTCAATGTGCAAGTGCCCACACACAGATACATGCACATATACAGAATTAAAAGGAATAAAATAAGTCTTAAGAAAAAAGAATGTTGATTTAAAATGTGTCAGTTCAGCAAGGTGGCACATGCCTTTATTCCTAGCAGAGGTAGAGGCAGGAGGATCTCTGAGAGTTTGAAGATAGTCTGGTCTACATAGCAAGTCCCAGGCCAGCCAGGGCCACAGAGTGAGACCCTGTCTCAAGAATAAATAAACAGGGACTGGAATCTGCAAAAACAAAAGTTTCTGCTTCCCCGGCTTGGTGAGGCATCCCTGTCATCCCAGGACTCAGGAGGCTAAAGGCAGGATGAGTTCCGGGTCAGCCTGGGTTACTTAGAGACCCTTTGTGCTAATTCAGAAGGTTCAGTGCACAACTTTCAGGGAATGGAGGTTGGTTTCACCATGGGGGCACTTTATGGACTTGGAAAAGTTTTGAAGTTTTTCACCTTTTTTTTGTCTTTTAACTTAAATATCTTATTTTATCTGTATGAGTGTTTTGCCTGCATGTATGCAAGTGCAACATGTGCAGGTATGCTGATGGAAGAGGGTGTTGGATCCCTTAGCATTGGAGTTATGAATGGTTATGTGCTGCCATGTGGGTGCTGGGAACCAAACTCCGTCCTCTGGAAGAGCAGCCAGTGCTCTTAATCGTAGAGCCATCTCTCAGCTCCTTTCCTTTCCACTTTTGCTTAAAGTTACAAGAACAGACCCTCCACAAAGATGGAGACATGCACTTCTAGAATTTAGAACTGGGCCTGGCACACAGTAGGCACAAGGGCTGCCAGCAGCAGCAGATATAAATACAAGATGCTTAAGTTTGATTTTCAGGCAATCAACCTACTTTTGTGGTGTAAATATGCAAAATTCAAACTTAAGGGTTGGGGGTTTTCCTGTATTGGGCATCCCTCTTAAAGAGCTCCTAGATTAGCTCACCACGGATGGGAAGGTCTTCTTTCAACACGGGCGGGTGTGTGTGTGTGTTAATAACTGTACCTGTTTCCATAGTCAGAAATACGACCCCTCTGGGGCTGGAGAGATGGCGCAGCAGTTAAGAGCACTTACCCCTATTCCAGAGACTTGGGTTCAGCTTAACACCCACTGTAGCAGCTAACACCAGTCCTTACCTTTAGTTCCAGAGGATCCGACGCCCTCCTTTGGCCTCTACTGATGTTGCACGATACTGGTGCACTTACATACTTGTAGGCAAAAAACATACACACAATAAATCAAATATAGGGGCTGGAGAGATAGCTCAGTGGTTAAGAGCACTGGCTGCTCTTGCAGAGGACGGGATTCGGTTCCCAGCACTCACATGCGGCTAACAATCATCCCTAACTCCAGTTCCTGAGGATCCTACGTCCTCTTCTGATCTCTGCAGACATTGCACGACACAGGTGCACTTACATACATGCAGGCAATACACAAAGCACTCATATACATAAAATAAAAATAATAAATGAGCCAGGCGTGGTGGCGCATGCTTTTAATCCCAGCATTCCGGAGGCAGAAGCAGGTGGATCTCTGTGAGTTTGAGGCCAGCCTGGCCTACTTTTGAGTTCCAGTTGGGGCTACAGGGAGACCATGTCTCAAAAAAAGGCAAGTAAATAAATAGTTCAAAAATAAATAACCCAGCCCTGGCACTGGGTGCACCCTGGCTTAGCTGACAGCTTAGGACAATCCCGTGGGTGGACAGCCTTCCCACCGGCATCCACACCAGCTGCCCGGGCAGGTGCGGGTTCCCAAGCCCGCTAGGTGGCCCGCACCTGCGAGCCCGGGCCAGCCTCTTTCCGGGTCAGGTGACCGCGCGCTCTCACGTGCCCCGGCCCGAGTGCAGGCGCTGGAAGGCGGAAGTGGGAGCAGAGTCGGGCGCCGCTAGTGTGGCCGCGGCAGGT